TGAAATCTCACTCAGTGATTAAAACACTTAAGTACTGATACATGGTACAATCTGAATGAACCTTGAAAACATTAACACATAAGTGAAAGAAGCCATTCAAAAAAGACTACATATTGTACGGCTCTGGTTGCATGAAATGCCCAGAACAGAGATATATACACAGATAGAAAGATTTGTGGAGCTGGAAGGGGACAATAAGTAGAAATAATGCATTACTGTTACTGGACAGATTTTGGGGGTGAAAACACATTCTAAAATTGATGATAGTGATGGACACACAACTTTGTGTATATAGACTAAAAACCAACAAATCACACTTTTAAATAAATGAGTAAAATCACAATAAAGCATACATTTAGCCTTTTTTGCCTGGTATGTGGTTTATCTACTGTAACTGCACTAAACAATTAGAATCAGTAACACGTTTTTGCCCAAAATGCAAAGTATAACTGTTCTTCCAATTTAAAAGTTTTTCACCACAACTTGTAGGCAGGAACTAGCATAAATGAAATAATTGAAGGTTCAGGGTGGTTGTAATTCCCAGCTTTTTCACTTAGTAGAAATATAGCTACAGGCATGTCGCTACCCTTCTCTTGAGCCTCACTTAAATCCTCTATAAAGCAAGAATGTGAGGACCTACCCTCACTAAGATTGTAGTAAGAATTAGGTACGATAATCTTTGTTTAAAGTATGAGAAAATGCTCAATAAACACTATCTAGTAAAATTCATCCCTGAATGTTTCTGAAGCCTGTCTAGGCACTACCCTATGCAATGATATCATCTAAATTCATTTTTATCACATATCCCAACTTCCAGCCCTCCACATTGCTGGTAATAAACAAATCACACACAGAACGCTATCAAACTCATTCCTTCTATCCTATTTTATTAGAAACAATCTCTAACCTAACAATCTTTCCATCCTTACTGGGAAAAAAATGACAGGCTTGTACACTCCTATCTACACCTCAGTTTACAACACACAGTTTCATATTCAAAATGTGCCTGCATCAAAGATGCCCTCGATAGCTTGAACAAATCTCCTGAGAAATAGAAAAACTATAGGGATGTTAGTTTTTCCAAACACTAATAGCGAAAACCTGAAAAAACTGTTTCATTCACAATTTCTATAACATTTTTTATTAAAAAAAAGTGCTTGAGGTAGTTTTTACTAAACATGTACAACGGAATAGTGCACAAATTATCAGAAGAACAGACACCATAATGTTCCTGCTATTGAAGCTGTAGTGGCATGGTCATAATGTTCACACACTAAATGAGAATGAGATAGATACTATAGTTAGGAGAAAACAGATCATTTTATCAACAGATGAAGAAAAGCTTTTAGGAGGACTCAATAGAGCTAAGAATGCCGCTTACCTAAATAATGTAACTTGCCTAACATTTGTGGGCTTCTGGATTTAATCCCCACTATTGCAAAGATAGCAACAACAGAAAAAAAGAATGCACGTTGGAGGTATATTAAATAGAAAAAGGAAAAAAAATGACAAACACTGTGTTCAAGTAATTGGGCACTATTTGGGAAAATTTGCAATGTGTGACATTACAAAGTGATACAGGAGTAATGGGGTAAAATTGTTAATTTATGAGTAGATGATTTTTAGGGTCAGTTACTGAACTAAGCAGATTTGTTCTAAGACCTTGAAAGATAGTTCGAATTTAAACATACAATAGGTATGAAATGTGATTGAGAGATCATTTCTGAACAGACAGTAAGAAGGCAGGAAAGTATTTCAGAAAATCATGGTAGGCTGGCAAAAAGAACAAAACAAAAAACAAAAAACAAAACTTCAATGCAAGAAGAAGTAAGAACATCACATAGTTACACTGTGAGCAGTTTCTAATTGTAATGCTAAGACGTTTAGATGGATCATGCAGTCCGTTGGTCCTAAGGTTGTGGGTTATTGTTAAACTGACTGATCGTGCAGTCAAGAAAAATCCATTAAGTTCTGATTCATTTCATTCCTCTGAAAATCTCCCCTTCTTCATCTACAGCATACACTGATCTTCCTTTAAGATCTAATTCAAATGTAACCTTCATAGTGAAGCTGGCCCGAAGTCCCAATGTGGTCAATGTCTAGCTATAATTCTCTGAATCTCCAGCACTCTGGCTTTACCTCTGATCCTACATTGAACACTGATTCCCAAACACTGCATTAAAAAAAAAAAAAAAAAAAAAAAATCACCGGGCAACTTCTAAACAGACAGCAAGGCAGTGTTATCCTTTAACCTTCAGAATCAACAGTCAAAGTAGGCAAATTTATACCCTGAGAAAGAAAGTCCTAACACTATTTGTTCTCATTCTGTGGTCAAAGTCTATAAAGGATTTGTTCTACTCATTCATTTTTTCCAGACTACTGTCACTAGCAGGGTCTGTTGTGAACCCAAGTAAGGATGTTGGCTGCAATATTGTACAAATAGCAAAATTCTGGTAATAGCCACGATCAAGGACTAGGAAAATAAAGTAAGATGGCATTCATCATATAGAAAAATAAATGATGCATAGCCCTACATACATATACACACACATTTATCATACATGAAGTAAAAACAAGTCCCCACGAAGTTTAGCATAGTTTCATTTCTACCTTAAAACTACCTCCATGTAGTTCATTTGTACTCTGTTGTCTAAAATTATACACCAACGTAAAAATAATTAAGATGTATTATGAACATATCTAACTCCCTATGATAAATCATTAGTAATCATTCTGAACTGTAAAAATGTACTAATAAAAAATGTTAAATACATATCAAAAAGCAATATTCACTTCTTCTGAGGATAGATATTTTCACTGTTTTTTTATTAAGTGACTTCTTCATAAATAGCAAGTTGTTACTCTATATTAAAAATAACCTGAACAAGCAAATACAAGAAGGTGGAACCACGGGTTATACAAGATGAAGACAAGACCAACACCACTAGATCTACCCTTATGCCAAGCAATTGCTTTCCCTATGCTCATGGCAATTGTAACAACTCTTCAGTCTGGCCAAGTTTCAAACATTCTGACACTGATTATAAGACAGTAAGATTGTTGTGCATCATTGCAAGAATATACAATATCATAATAGCATTAGCGAAAGTCAAACTGCTAACGTTCAAATTGTGTAGACATTATTTATTAGCTGTATGATCTGGGGTGAGAAGTCACTTAAACTCTTTATGCCTTAATTTCCTCATCATAAAATAAAGACTGTGGGGCTGGGGATTTAGCTCAGTGGTGCTGCTGCCTGTCTCGCAAGCTCAAGGTCTCAAGTCTGATCCCCCAGCACCAAAAATAAATAAATAAATAAATAAAATGAAGACCTTAGTATTTACCTCATATGGTTGATACTTGTAAAGTGCTTATAATAGTATCTGAAAAAAAAACTAATATAGGTTCATTTTATTCAATTAAAATAAATAACTGAAGAAAATCCAGGGCTAGCAATGTGATTCAGTGATAGTATGTTTAGCAAGCATGAGGCCCTGAATTCAGTTCCAAAGAAAAAGAAAATACATATATGTTCGTGTTGATATTAACCTAATAGTACTCTCCAAAGATATAACCTCTCCAAGACAAATCAAGTGCATCATACATAGTGTGTAAGTATTGTTTTGGAAAACTTTTAAAGCCACATATATGCATGTATACATATGGTAACATAATGTAAAAAATGCGCTTTTCATGGTCAAAAGAGTGATAAAATAATACCAGTTAGTGGCTCATAGCTCGGTCCTCTGCTGCCACACCCTGAGATGAACATTTACCACATCAAGCCTGGGACCAATCCACAGGATTGTCATCTAGGAGGGCAGCAGAGTACGTACATTTTCAAACCTTAAAAGATACATAACATCCTGTTTGAAAACAAATTCAAAACACTTTCCTCTCCTCCAATATCTTTTCTGTTGTTTCGAGTTTAAATCCATTATCACCATTACAGTATCTTTTAGGTGGAATCAGGCAATCTTCTCCCTTCAAATTTTTCCTTCCTAGTTGAAGAGCATCTTATTTTAGAACAAGTTAATCTAAATTCTCACCTGTTGTAGGTTTATTTATAAACTTTTTATTCTGTCACTTCAATGAACATTACAAACAACTAAGAAATTATAATGTCTTGACAAAGCTAAGAATCATTTTTATTATTTGCAGTAATTATATCTCTATAATAAATGCATGACATGAAAATTGGCCTATTAAAGAATTTAGGGTTAGGTTTATTTCAACCTATAAATCAACTTTACTAGGCATATTTTAAATGAGCTGGTTCTCAAAATATTTTTCCTAGTAAATTCAATGGACATCCAACACACTATTTCTCCCCCATCCTATCTTACATTCCCCACATAACCCGTTTAAAGTGAAATAAATTATAAAGTCTCAAATAATCCTAGCCCTTAGAGGAGATTAGACGGGGGCTAAAATCAATCTGAAGTCCTTTATCAAATATTTCATGATTTCTTCAGCATTCTGAAAATAGTATTTTGCATATCGTATATAAATTCAATGAAAGCTCATTTAGAAATTCCACAGATGATGAAATCCAGATCTAGAGAAGTTAAGTAACTTCCTCGGGGCCATATGCTTTGGAATGGAAAGCTGTGCAATCATGGGACTGCTAATATTACTTCATTTATTTGAAGAAATAGCACACAATTATAAACATTAACAATATACATTAAAATTTATTATGTTTTCTAGAATTTTTCAAAAGTACTTTGACATAATTAGGCATTTGCTGTTAAGTTTAATTTCACAAAAAGAAAACAAAAACAACAGCAAAAAAGTTAAATCCCCAAAGTATTACTTCCTTATTACTACATCAAAGCTAAGGATAAAATTTATACTGAATGAATTAACTGGCACTTAAAATATAAGAACATAAATTACCTCCAACTATTTCAATTTCTGTCCCTTAAAGTAATGTTCTGTTGCAAATGTAAAAAAGTACAGCAAGTTTATAAAAATCCAGTTTCCTGTAAATCTCATACCTGTTGTTCATCCTCCATGACGTTACTAGCAAATTCAAATACTAGGTCGTTCTGTTGGACAACAGCAGCCATAATAAAGCATTCCCCTTAGATCCACATGAGAAAAAAGTTCCAAAAAGGCTCAAGTACCAGGCAGTAGAGTCCACTGGCAAATTTGGGTAAAACCTCTCAGCCAAGTCTGTGAAATTACTGTATATCCAATGTGTTCTTTAAAGAAGGTGCTTCAAATTTTCTTTGTTTACTGATATTAGAAGCAAACAGTGGCAATTTTTTCCAAACTTTTTCTTCTCTTAAGCTTCTTGACCTGAAAAATAAAACATTAAATTCATTGTGAAGGAACAATCACCCATTTAAAACATAACTGATACAGTGTATAGTATTTCCAATGAGTTTATGATAGTTTCTAAATAAATCAACATGAGCAAAAAATAGACATTCTTTAGATAATATATTTTAGATATTTTTAGATACATATTTTTCTTGAAGACTTCATTCCTTCTAAGAGCACTCTTACTATTGAAAATGAACACTTTTTCTCCTCTCAGTTAAGCTTTAAAGTATTTTTAAAAAACAAAAACAAAACAAAAAATGCAGCATTAATAACAAAGTTTGCAACTGCAAAGGAACATATAATTTTCAGCTTTCCATTAATCCAGTAAACCACCTACAAAAGATTTATCAGTCTGTGAGTAATTTCACGATATATATTTTTGTCCTTAACTGAAACATTCAAGACACTATCCTTGTTAGGCCTAATAAATGTAATTATTTAAAACCTAATGAATTTAAAATTTAGTACATACTATTGTAAAATACTATTGAAAATAGTACACACTATTGTAAAAATAATCAGAAATTAAAGCACACTTTTTCTGTTCCTTAAAAGGTTTCTGATAAGTAGAATGCTTTTAAGAGTTACCATGCTTAAGCGTGTCTTCAGTGACTTCTTTTTTAATGCACTGAAATGTACCCTTATCTCTAGAACAGGCTTGCAAGCCAACAGGAAGGAAACAGCACTTGACCACATCATGGCAAATTAGAACATGCAAAGAACTGCATTTTACAACAGTACAAAAACAGAAACAACTTAAGAGCAAAAACAGTTTCAAAGCAAAGGGGAAAATGCTTTAAAAATGTCTGCAAAGACGGTTCTATATATATTTTTTTTAAAGTTACCACTACTAACAAAAGTATATGTAAAAAATTAATTTAGCAGTGGGTGGGAATGGGAAGCTACCGGGTTGAAACTGAGTTTATTGAGTAGAAACTAAATTAGTGAGCAATTAAACACTGTATGGAATGGTAATAAACATAAATATGACTTAACAAGACAATAAAAAATAATCATATTAAATAACATCTACTTATTTGAAATAGTATTTATAATTTTACTACAAGAATTTCAAAAAGAAAGCTGATTTCAAACAAAGGATGGGCACTAATTTCCTAATAAAGTTAAAGGGACAAGTTTGAGGGAAAAAGCTGACATGAAAATCAACTTTCCAAAAACTTAAATCCACTAGCCCCTATATCTATATTAACAGAACTTCATTAATATTTTCTGTAGAAGATTATCTGAAAAATTTAGAAATCTCTTCCATAATAAAAAATTAAAATGAACCGGCCATATAACACAGCAATAGAGCCCTTGCTCTGCATGCATAAGGCCCTGGGTTCAATTCTACTATGTACTAACTGAAAGCCAGAAAGATTGTTTCTTACAAAAATATCTGTAACAAAAGTGCCTTACCACACTCCAAAATGCTTTTATATATTTTATGCAACCTTTTGATACTTACAATAGATCATTTTTCTTTCCTTCTCCCATGGTTTTGTATTGTGCTTTGATCTGTACAAGCAGCCACTCACAGAAGAATCTTCTGTGTTTGTGACTTCTTTGAGAGCAGCTAGGATTTTTTCTGTTTCCCCCTTGATGTGCTAATTATGTAAAACTGATTAGACATTTGAAGGAGAATTGTGATTTCCAGGAGATAGCATAGATTTTTTTTTCTTTTCTTTTTTTCTCTTTCTTCTTCTCTCCTCCTTTCTCCTCTTCTCTCTCTCTCCTCTTCCCCCTTCCCCCCCTTCTATATTTTGATACAGGGGAAAAATTTTGGCCCTTGCTCTTACAAGGCAGGACCCAGAACCACTGAGCTAAATCCCAGCTCTAGCATAGATTATTTTCACCCATATTTTTATCTGGAACAACTGCAGGAGAGGGGTTAACAGATTTCTCTATTATTTCTTTAAACCTTAGTTTTACTAATCTTCATTCCCAAGTCTACCACTATCATACCATCTCACTTTACACATTCATTCAGCCCAAAAGGGAACACTTAAAGCCTTATTGTAAGACTACCATACCCAATGAACTCATAAATATTTTTGAAATATTTTTATTGACACTTTTCTTTCTAGTTCTTTAAATGTAGTACAATTTACATTAAAAATTTGGGTATGGAGAAAATAATTATGAAAAACACCACACAGTAGTTAGTCAAGTAATCAGACTTGAACTTCCCCAAACAGGGACACTAATGGCCCTTCAGACCCTGCTGAAAAACAGCAGAGAAAAGAACAGTAATTTTAAATAAATCTCATTATAAAGCTCTTACTGTACCAAGTTATACACAAAATGAAAAAAAAAAAGTTAACGTCACAAAGTGACTCAATCATTCCTTACTGCATTCAATATTCAAATAATTCAAAAGGAAGATTCTACACCCTAATCTTTTTATTTAAAATATTCAAGGAATTTAAGAAAGTTTAGAAAAAGTTTTAAAATGTGTCTCCAGAGATTGGGGATTTAGCTCTAGTAGAGTACTTGTCTATTATACACATGGCTCTTTGGGTTTGATTTCCAGCAGCACTTAAAAAAAAGTTGCTTGAATTTAAAACTTACCATGTATTGTTTATTCACTTACTTTTGTGACTCTGCTAAGCAAGTACTCTACCTATAATCCATAATCCCAGCTTCTCAATTATTTTTAAATTAATTCCAGCATAACTACCTAAAATTAGGTTTTTGCTTTGTTTTGTTTTGTTTTTTGTTTTTTTGACACAAGAGTCTCACCATGCAGTCCAGGTTGGCTATGAACTATGTAGTCCAGCTCAAGGCAGTCCTCCTGCCTCAGCCTCCTGAGGGCTAGGATGGCCCAGCATGTGCCACCACACTCAGACAGGTATTCTTTTTTGTTTCATTAAAGTTATTAATACATTTTAGGTATACCTTATGATCACATTCATCATAGAGAACTTGTACCTGTAAATGATCTATCTTGGTTATTTTTTCCCATTCGCCTTCCCTCACTCCTTCCCTATTTACAAAAGCTTTGTTTCCATTTTTTTCCTTCTTTTCTCATTTTTCTTTCCCTTCTTTCTTCCCCCCCGCCCCCCTTCATAGTTTCTCTTCCCCTCTGAACATTTTCTTCCTATTTCACAACATCTATTACACATTTTGGTCCTCATTCACACCCAGCCAGGTATTCTTTAATGCAGGGAAAGGCATTCTTAAACGGAATGATGTGATGCAGAGGTGAGTGAGACACCCTATGTTTATTTGCTTTTTATTTCCGTTTTTGTTTTAGCAGTACAAGGGATTAAATACAGGGCCTTGAGCATACTAGGCAATCCATAACTATATCTAACTTTTAATTATTAAAAGTATAATTTTACTTTCATGTAAATGAAGCACAAACTGATGTTTTTTATTTTCAAACTCTCAGATTTCTGGTGGCATATACAAAGATGAAACATCTTTACAATCTTGATCAAGCTCCCCTTAGCTTTAAGCATGTAAGAGAGGGACACGGAGAAGAAAAGGGAAGTGGAGTTAACAGAGACAATGTGAATCAGGCTGAGTGCTTCATGCTTTTGCCTCTTTGCTGACACTCAGGAACACTTCCAGGACTGAGGGAAAGCCACAATGGCTCCCCAGACCTGAAATTCCAGTTCTTTCACATAGTTCACCACTCTCCTTCATTGGCCACTTGGGCCTACCTGGTGTCAGATTACACTCAGGCAGCATTTATAACACCTTACAAAACAGCCAAACAGATCACATACCTAGACCTGTATATACCTGTGGTCTCAAGATTAACCCGTTTTCTGTGTATGTTTCAAAAACAAAGGGTATTTAAAACTAAAAGGGAAATATCCAATAGTGATCTGACATAATTGTAATTTTGTTTATAAAAACTTTATTCCTGTCTCAAAAAGGCTGAAAGTTTTTAATCAAATATCATAAACTGATTTGCATTATGTAAATTCACTTAGGGAACTTTCTTCAATATAGCACCTAAATCTTAACTGATTAAAACAAAAACAAATACAAAAAAAAGCACCTGGCCAGAAAATACAAACATGCTAAAATGTCCTTATCAGCAAAACCTGTTTGGGCAGTTAAAAAATTTCTCTCCAATGGGCAAGAATTAACTTGCAAGGAAATTCTGTTTCATTTCTGTGGCTGTTTATTCCCCCTAGTTAATACTTTCATGGAAGGGAAAAAAATTCCCTAGTGCAATAGTTTTCCCACCTGTGATAACAGTAGATTCCCCTCAGTCATAGAGTTACACTCTGGCAATGACTAAGTGGGAAAGGCTAGGGATATATTGTTCAAAATGACCTCCAGGGAGGTGCCAGGATTTGGCTCAGTGGTGCCACTTCCTGCCTCTCAAGCACAAGGGCCAGAGTTCCATCCCTGGTACCAAAAACAAACAAGCAAACAAAAGGACCTCCAGGATATCTTACTACGGGACTGCATTCCCTATCTCCATTGCCCACATTGCACAAGAGTCTTTTAAGATCCACTCTTACAAAGAGACCTACCATTAGCTGAAAGCAAAATTTAAAAGTCATATAAATCACTCAATGGCCATGCACTGCATTGGTAAGTGAGACCTCCTTCATATACCATTTGATTGACCCTTACCAACACTATTCTAGCTCCCCTCTAGAAGATTTTTACCCTGGAGTAGATGACCAAAATGAAGACAATCACCATAAATGAAAATACGATTTCTTTCTTTATTTAAAATTTATCATGGCTTCCACTACTTATTGGAAAACTCGAAGCAATAAGCAAGTTCAATAACTATTCTTGGTGTGGCAAAGGTATGAGGAAACCAGTCAGATTGGCAAGACAAAATATCTGAATATGTTGGTTAGAAAGGTAAACTGTCCATGAACTGAGCTTAAACATAGACCTCCAAGATACAGTAAACTATATTTCTATGAAACAAATAGATCTACAGAATAGAATAAAAGCTGAGAAATACATTCGATTAAATAGAGTCAACAGACCTT